GCAGCGGTGAAGAGTATTACTTGGATTAATCTCTGATGCATCCATCGGAGTATGACTGCTAGATAGAAAGCACATCAGCATTTTTTTAAAAAGTGCTTGGGCGAATAAGGCATGTTGTATGAAGTACTGAAGAGTCCTCCAGAGTAGAAAGGCTCTATACAAGAATAAGTCCATTTAAAATCTTTTATTTACACATGGGATCCTGGTTGCTGTCTGGAGGTGTCCTAGTGAAGCAGTTACCCTTCTCCCACTAAAGACATGAGGGATTAAGCAGTGCTGATTACTTAAGAGGTTATACTATCAAGTCCTATAAGCTCAATGAGTCTGTGTGGATAAGAGGAAATCCAAAATAATTTCAAACTTGTGCATCATATTAAGCCCAACATCGCCATGACATTCATGCCCATGATGAGTGTATGTAAACGTCTGACTACAACTCTTTATTTCAACACAATAAATACTCACAAAGCTAATCACCATTTCTAACTGTGCCACTTTTCAAGGCCATAATCAGACAAAGAAATTAGAACAGTTTTGTTCTACTACAAAACATTAAATAAATAAAGACTATATTCGTGCCTTTAATGGTTTCTATAGACGAACGATGAAAAAAAACAACTTTTCCCAGAAAACTTTTGTTTTGCTAGACAAAGAACATGAAGGTTTTGTGATTCAGAAAAATGTTTTTCTTGCTCTCCTTTCACAGCTGTGGCTGTTAACCTGTGGTTTTTGTGGTTGATTGTCGGGCCAATCCCTTTAACTTGAAATCATGCTTGCCAGTGTACTGTGGAGGAGAAAATGTTTTTTCAGCACATAATAAATGTCATTTCTCTGGCAGAGAGAACCACTCACTGTAAAAAGTCCCCCAGCTCAGGTGCTATTTTGATAGAGCTGATGGTATCTCACAGCAGACAGACTAAACATCAGGACATCACGAATGCCTGAAAGTGTCTCGAGATAATTTGAAGATATCGTTTCTAATCTGGCCACGTAACCTCACACACTTACTTCCTGCTTTATATTTGAAAAAAAAGAGACAAACACAAACTAGTCCATAATAGTGAAGTGGAAGAAAAATGATGCTTGGTGTTCAAAAAGTTTTACGAATAACAGGGCTCTCATCCCCTAGCCCTAATTACTGGCGATGTAACACTAACTGAATTCTGTTGGGCTGTTTCTACCACCTTCGCACATCTACAGACTGCAGACTCTGACTTTTTTGCAAAATAGCTCCAGTGCAGTCAAATTAGATGCAGGGTGTCTGTGAACAGCAGTTTTCAAGTCTTGCCACAGGTGCTCAACAGGATTTAAGTCGGGCTGTATGTTTAAGGTCAAACCTCCTCCCCATTCTCAAGTCTTTTGCAGCCTTTAATAGGTTTTCTTCCAGGTTTGCCCCATGTTTACATCCATCCATCTTTCCATCAGCTCTGAGCAGCTTCCCTTTCCCTGCAGGAGAAAAGTGTGCCCACAGCATGATGCTGCCACCACCATGTTTTACAGCTGGGATTGTGTTTTCAAATCAATGTACAGTTTTGCATAAAGGCCCAAAGATTCAATTTTGGTCTCATCTGACCAGGGCACCTTTGCTGTGTCCCCTTCATGGCTTGTGGCAGACTTCTTATGGCTTTCTTTCAACAATGGCCTCTGTCTTGACGCTCTTCTATAACAGCCAGATTTGGGGAGTCCAGATTTTCCCACCTGTCAATCTCTGCAGCTCCTCTAGAGTTAACGTGGGCCTCTTGGCTGCTTCTCTGATTAAAGCTCTTTGATTGGCCTGCCAGTTTACAGTAGGTGGACTGCCATATCTTAGTGTTAAAAGCTTGAGATATGGTTTTGCACTTTTTTCCTACGTACTGTATGCTAACAGCCCCGTTCACCCAGTTTACTTTTTCATTTTGCCCTCACTCAGCACTGAAATCTCAAGCCTTCCTACTATGGGTCACAGACAGAAATCTCTTTATTACACCTGTCCTGCAAGAAAACACAAGCTCCAGAAACTCCAGAATTAATTTATCAGCAGGGAAACATTCACACAAACAAACAAACAGGACCTTTGCCTTTCTGTAAAGATTTTGAGCTGGCCACGATCCTGGAGGACTCTGTTTAGTCCTGTTTGGAAAAGTTTCCATGCAGTTATCAAAAGCTCAGCATGTGGCCAATTCAGAGGAGGCCTCTGTTTTCATGACTGGTTTGATCTTTCCTGTCTGCTGGCAGTGATGGGCTTGTTCTAAGAATGTACTAATTTAGTCCATTTAAAAAGTTTTACAGTTTATTGTTGTTGTTTTTTTAATGGTATAAATTGTGAATACATGTGTAAGAGTATCACATTCGAATCAAATTAAAAGTAATACATGATTGATGATGTGTTTAAATATACTAGTGTGCAAAAATGATTAAACACAGAAACAGAATGTACCAAAAAGAAACAAAAACAGTAGATTGGAGCAAAGACGGGACTATATATGAGCACACTGAGGTGAAATTAAACCAAAACAACACACAGAAAAATAACCATCCATCCATTTTCTTAAATGCTTCAATTGAGGGTCACAGGTGGGCTGGATTCGTACACCCTGGACAGGTCGTCAGTCGTCAGAGATGATAACATTCATACTTAAGGCCACTTTAGAATCACCAATTAACCAAACAAGCCTGCATTTGAAGTACCTGGAGAGAGCCGCGCAGTGGATTCGAACCCACGACCTTGTTGGTGTGAGTCAACAGTGCTAACCACTGCAACAAAGAGCAAATGATTAACACGGAGGTGCGACGACATTTAAACGAAGGCAGAGAGAGAAACATGAAAGCCAACAAGTATAAGCAAGTGCATTGCAAAAAGCTATGATAGCTAAGCATTCAAAGCATTTTCTGGTGAGTGTTTGGCGTCGTTGTAATATTCCAGATGAAGACCAGCGAGATGCAATTAAGCTCTCCTGCTGATTTGGATGATGAGGGAAACACTGAGCTGCTTTGTGGCTCATCAATGCGGCCTATTGTCAAGAGAGGTTACATCATCGCCAGCACATAAACAAAGAGCGGCTACACATCTCACTGCTCATCTTCAAAGAGCTTTGATAGAAACACAGAGTCCAGGATTTTGGTGCTTTGGTACACTAAGACAGAAATGTCGCCCTCTTGGTCACGTTCAGTCCGTTTGTTTTTTCTGTGCATGTGTGTGTAAAGCGCCTTGAGGTGACTTTTGTTGTGATTTGGCGCTATATAAATAAAATTGAATTGAATTGTTTGTGCATGCATGTAACTTCACACACACACAAAATCTGTGGGAAACTGTTTGGCGGTCTGCACAAGCATCAAGCGTCAAAGCCTCTGCAAAAAGCTTGATTAGCATACCTGCAAGCTGATCGTGCATGACTTTGATAATTATCTTTTTTTTTTTTATAGAAGCAGTAACTGTTTTTAGACCATTCTGTGAGACGGGAACAAACTGTAAACAGCAAACAGTTGCTCATTTACACTGGAAGGTCAATGTGTATCCTCTCATAGCTCAGCTTTTGCGCTACAGGAAATAATACATCTGCTGTGCTTCACTATGCTGTGAAATTTCAGTTGTTTAGAGACACATTTACACAAAAATCAAGGCACCACAAGTCATTTGAGGAAGTGCCTCTATAAGCTTTCTAAACCCCAGGAGCTCTAGACAAATCGTTTAGCCACTGATCACCATTTCAGAAGCTATTAAGTTATTAGACGAGCATTAAGACAGGAGACGAAGCCTCGCATTTCTGCTCTGTGAGGAAACTTTATTGCTTTGGTTCATGCAGCTGTTGAACCCTCAGACAGCTGCATGGTCTGAATAAAAATGCGAGAATCCTGAGAGATTTTGAAAATAATTACAATGAGAATAGACCGGTTTGGAGCCTTTTTCTCAGTTAAGATGGATCTGGTCTTGTATTAATGTTTCTCATTAATTTCCAGACACTTCAGCTACACTTAAATGTGAATGAATAAGCATGATAATGAGATAATAAAATGTCAAGGAAGGGTGCGTTTATTTTAAATATGCGACACGAATGGCGTCACTGAAGATCAGAGTTCCCATGTTTAGTATTTAGTTTGCGCTCTTTGGGCTTTAGGTAGGGCTTCTGTGAGGATCAGACTCGGCCTTTGAACCAGTAAATAATCATGTCTGGTTGGAGTTTTTCCATCTCATAACTTCCTAATATTTCTTTGTTGAACTGTTCCTTTGCTAAAGTCATCCCAGCCGTCTTATTCTTTGAGGTTATGGATTTTTCGCTCCTTCACACCAGTTCTTTTTAAAATAGTTGTCAAGGATTTGTGTTGTTCATCTTTAAAGTAACCTTCTCACATGCTCTATTCACAGTTTTGTGGTCCAGTCTTTGTCAACCGATTTGAACAACAATTTTGATTTTTGTACTCAATTATTCTGTTGTACTGCAGACGCACAGAGTCAGTCCCTTTTAAATTATTAATGGCACCCAATAATGATTACTTTTTATAATCAAGGCTTTGTTGTTGTTGTCGTCATTCAGAGGTATTATTACATTTCCACACTGATGAAGTGATTTATTTATTTCAGAAGAAAATATTTAACTAAATAAAAAACAATTTAACTGGGTTTCCCCAGTTGTGATGAAATTTCGTGGCACAGTCTGGGCTGACAAATCATCACCGCTTTCCCCAGAAGTCAGCTGTTAGTGTGGCAACATAGGGAGTAAAACACTGATGATGAATCATTTATATTAAGACGTGCCTAAAAAACCCACAACAATGGCCACTATGCCAAGAAACAATATTTCATAATGAAAAAGAAAAAACAAAAACAAAAAAAACAAAACAAAACAAAACAAAAAAAAAACCAGGTTTTGAGTTGTTTTATAAGTTTATTAAAAATGAAACACTGAAATGTCCAACTTACATAAATGTTCAAAGACTGCAAGTCTCGTTTTAAAAAATGAAATTCCAGTGTCAAGCTGAATTCCAGTTCGTCTGACGCCTGTGAACAGTCCTCACATGCTTTCTCTCTGAGTCGAAGTATTTGGACACACACTGGTCGAAATACGTTCTCACAGTCTCACGCATAAGTTCAGCAAATGCAGTACAGAGCCTGCAAACGTATCACATGCAGGCAAGTTATTGTTTGAAAAAGAGGACAGCGACAAAGATACATTCACTGATTGTGTGTGAGTGTGTGTTCAAAACGTAGTCGTGCAGAACGGGCAGACTGGTCGCAGCTTTTCTCAAGAGCTGCTCATCCAAACAACACGAGTCAAGAAACGAGACAAAATAGCAAAAAACAAAAATATCTGTACAGTTTTGATGTGGTTTTTACCTCTTCAGCTTTCTTTACGATCAGTTAAGACCACATAGATGATGACATTTGGTAAAAGTTTCTTACTGTAAAACTTCCCCAACACACACAGAGTGGTGCAGGCTGCGGCTGGCAACACAGAATTAGCCCAAATATGTGAACTGCTCATCTCAGTGAACTCAAATGCAACACTACGTGGTACCCTGGCCCACGTGGGTTAGACTAATGGTTGTTTAATTAATTAATTAATTTGTTTATATAGAGATAGGCATGGAGGCCCTGGCAGGTTTATTATTGGCGATGTGGAGGCTTTCTTCGATGTGGAGCCCCAGCAGGTGTACACCAGCCTGTTGTGGTTGTTGCTGCTCTGCAGTACTTTGCGTTTATGTTTGCTTTGAGTTCCATCCTGAGACGAGCCCAATTTATTCTTTTGGCTGGATCCTTGTTCCTGGAGCTGAATATGTATGGGGTTTGGGGCCTGATGGGCTGTGGTAACGTGGACCCCAACTCGGTTTCCTCCCAGCTTGTGGTAGGTTGAGAGAAGCAGCCGGTGGAGCTCCCGCTGGAAAGTCTTGTTGAAGTAGAAGTAGATGAATGGGTTGTAGATGTGGGAGCTTTTGGCGAAGAGGGCGGGAAACACGAAACCCTCCGGAGCCATGTACCGGTGCTCCTTGTGGAAAATGAAAAGGAAGGACACGACAGCGTAGGGAGCCCAGGCAATTACAAAACCCAAACTGATGCAGAAAAACATCTGGAAGGGGAAGCGACAGAGTAGAGAGGGTAAGTTAGTACACTGGAAACTAATCAGAGACCTGATGAATCATCTCTGACACACAAATAACTTGTTTCCTATGAAACGATCCATTTTCAAACAAAGCAAAGATCATGTGGTGCAGCAGACTGAATATTTCATGTCTACACTTTCCTAGTAACGGATCTCGTACGGTCATGTGAATATTGACGTGTTCAGGAAAAAAATTATGGCACTAATTCTATTTTTAAAGCGACACGAGTTTCTTTTAAATATAACGATATTTTTGTTATTTTTACCTTCACTTTATCTTTTCCATCTCGTGTGGTTGGAATGAACCCATTTCCGTTCCCTTAAATATTAATAGAAAAAACATAGCAGAGGCACCTCCTCCCTACAACCTCTTGGTCATCTGGGCCTCACACTGTGTTCTGGGCCTCGTGGGCTCTCTCCTGGTACTCTGGATTTCTTGAATTTTTTTTCAAGGTCAGCTTTGACCTCGGGTGCTAATAGTGAAGGTCAAGGTCAAATGTTTAACCAACCTAGGTACTCGTATCCCCCAAGGTTTAAATTGTTGTAAAATACGAAGACAATCGATAAAAAATTGTGAGTAATATAAAGTTGGTTTGTTGTGACCTCGAGGGGATTTTCAGCAAATTTAAATCAGCTTGAGCTGTTATTGGTATCTACCATCACAAAGAAATGTGAAATCCTGTGGACAGTAGAGTGCTAACAAACAGACAAATAGACAAACGGAACTGATTACATCCTCCCTTCCATTCAGAGGAAGAATACATCGATTGATGTGGCTGAAATGTATCTGTGATAAACTGCAGGACAGTCAAACATTCAAAATCAAAGGTTCTACAGACAAAAGACAAGTCAAGTATAAAGTGTGACTCAACTTGGAGAGACAAGAGGCTCAAATGTTTAAATCTGAGATAACGCTGGAGGCTCTTCTTCCAGCTTCAAAGTCTCTAACAGATACATGTCATTATCAGCTTTGTTCAAAACCCTGTTACATACCAAGATATGCTGTTGCCTTAAAACTCCAAGAAGAACCAAGTTTAGATCCGATCTCCAACCACAATAAAAATGCACAGAGGGCTAAATGAAAGCAATGAGTAATGACTGATGAGTAAAAGATGTGAATGCCTGTACGACCTTCACAATGCATTAGTACTGTGATACCTCTATAACTGATAAAGTCTGATCTAATGCCACGAGGTCAAAGCGAGAATTTTACAGAGAAAGGTTCGAAATTATAAAAGCTCCAAAACTTAAAGAAAGATGCTTCATTGCTTTCTTTATTACCTCCTTTAAGATACACTGGACCATCCCATATGAAAGGAAAGGAGATATAACTGGCAACTAGCATGTAAATACTAATTATTAGCCTGTTTTTCATTTAATGCCATACCCTGCTGTTGTAATATTCATGGTTCACACCCAGCCTGGTTTTGCTGCAGGCCTCTTCCTGTCAGGAGGGACTTCTTCCTTCCCACTGTCACCAGCTGCTATTATATTGCAGGGTTTTTACTTTGCAAGATAAAGCATATTGAGATAACTCTATAAAGACAGTTTATTTAACTCTAATTCTTATAAAGTTTTTTATCTTGTGTGCCGAACATAGTTTTACATGTAAATGGAAAAAAAAAATCTCTCTAATTTCTCTGGATCATCTGCCTCCATCTCCATCCTGCCTCTAGCATCCTCCTCTGTTACACCTCTGCACATCCTGCATCACTACATTCTTGAATCTTCTCTGTGGTGTTTCTCTTTTCCTCCTGCGTGCCACCTCCTTATTCAATATCCTTTGCTGCATGGTCACTTAATCATTTCCCCAGTGTGAATAGACAACATGAGCTGAGCTCAATATGAAAAGCATCTGGTTTCACTTTATAGGCTAGTATATATTAATTTTTCTTTAAAATTACAGCTGTGGTATTTGAGTGATGTTTTTCGCGGGATATTCGGGTTGTTCTCTTTCATATGACCTGACTAGTTTGGTGTAGTTACCTGATGATGAGGTCAAGGATCAGTTATCAGGAAGAGACACGGGTGGTCATTTTTGGCACTATTCGACCACTGATGGAGAATTTCCTGTTGGTGTGCACTGAGCAGCAAATTCGAGCGCTGCCTGGACTGGATTCTCTCAACATTCTCAGTTCATGTGTGTTTGTCAAGTCTGCAGATATAATGTAAAGACTGAAGCTCACCATGGAGAGCCGCTTCTCAGCGCGGCGCAGGTTGTTGCGGATGCCCCTAGCAGACAGCAAGTAGGAGAAGCGGGACACCTTGTAGAGGATCCTGCACTGCGACACCACAATGAGGAGGACGGGAACCAGCGTGAAGCAGGCAAAGGAGCAGATGACATAGAAGGCATCCTTGGCGGAGGTGTGATAACCCCGCCAGGCGATTGTGCAGGACAGTCCGTAAGGCTCGGGGACGTACTCGCCCCAGCCGAACAGAGGGAAGCTGGACCACACTGTAGCAACCAGCCAGATAGCACAGCACAAGAGGCGGATGTTGGTTCCTTTCAGCCACACAGCTACAGCAAGAAGGCAAAAAAAAGGATAGAGACTGCAAGATTGGGGGCATTTGGGACATGAGTTACATGAAACTACTACTCTTAGCATCAAATTCTTATTAACTAACAACAACAGCCCTCACCGTAAGCCAAGCTGTAGCAGGTCTTTAGGTAGCGGATGATGCTGATGGCAGTGATGGTGAACATGCCGCACAAGCCGAAGATGTAGCAGCCGAAGCCGTAGTAAACGCACGTGATGTTTTCTCCCAGCCAGGCGTGGTGGAAGGAGGACAAGATGGCGAGCGGGTAGAAGCAGATGCAGCTGAGGAAGTCGACAACAGCCAGGTTGACGCACAGCAGCTCCGAGCCCACCATCTTCTTCCTCCTGAGGTAACAGATCACCAGCACCAGCCCATTCCCCATTACAGAGAGCAGAGCTGCACCGGGAAGAAGGTCAGAAGGAAACTGCTGCATTCGTTTAGCATTTGGCCTCTTTGGAAGCAACACTATTTTTATAATTGCTATGACCAAAATGTTAGCAAACATTTAGAAAGTTTTTGAGACAAAGCAAAAAACGTTTACATATTTTATACCTTCAAAAGGGCATCGTTACTTTAAAGTGAGTGTATCCCATGGAAAATGTTCCCATCAGATATGCCAATGTCAGTTTTACTTAAATAGCACATTTAATTACAGATAATGTCAATGTTGTTTAATATAAAGATAAAAACATAGGCTCACAATGATGCCTCAAGGCAATTTAAAAAAGCAATATAAAAGTATACATAAAAATAAAATACAACACACTTAAACTCTTAAAAACCATCTTTAGCAGAATAACCTTCTTATGGGCACTTTGCACTATTTGCCCAGCAGTCTGACATTTTTAGGTCGTACATATCAAAGTGAGAGCCACCATGCAGAATAACTGGATTATTGACGTCTTAGAGGCAAACCGAGCACACATTTATATGAGTGACAACACAATACAGGTTAAATCCTTACTTATAGTTACTGCTATTGCAATGCACACCTTCAGCGCTCCTAGTCAAGTGTAACTAGTTTAATGAGCGACTGAGCCCTGCAGACAAATAAAAGTCAAATATAAGATCTGAGAAGTTCACTGAAAACGAACCAATGGAAAGAAAAAGAAAATGAAATGATTAAAGTTTAAATACTTTATATTTAGTGGAAATTAAAGCACTTTTTATAACTTAAAGGCGTGAATTAAGCTTATCAAAAAAAATAGTCAACAGCATTTTTGTTTTCCAGGTAAAGCAGAAATAGAGAGAACAGATAACTCAGCATACCGATGGAGAAGATGGCCAGTCCCACGCATATGTCAGCAGCTGGGGTCAGTTTGGAGGTGAAGGCGGAGGTGGTCCGGTTTCCATCAGAGGAGTTCAGAGGCATCGGTCGCTGCTGCTGGTGTTGCTGATGCTGCAGTGGCTGAAATCCAGTCCTGTCTGTCAAAGGGAGATGAGGCTGACTTTCTTTTATGCATGGGGTTCTGTCGCCATGGTAACTCAAGTGTGTGATGTCCGTCAAATACACTGAGGATGGGGATCCAGGAGCTCTATAGACAAGGACGCTATAAGGACTTTGGCTTAACTTGCAAATGCCACCACAATATCTCCAAGAGCCTGGGCTTTAACAGCCTAACCAGCTATTTTTCCATTTATTCTAAGGTATTATAGTTTAGTTTATTTTTAATCCTGCAATATTACGATTCCTCAACATTTTGTTGACTTCAACTTAAAACCACATCAGAGAGCCAGAAACTGCAGTTCCTCCAGCGGCCAGTTGAAGCTGGGTCTATAAGAGAGTCAGACTTCCACATTAAAAACAAAAAACTTAAGAGATTAGATGAACTTTTCACAGCGTGGTACAAAGACTGGTTTTCATTCTTTGTGGCTTATTTCTGCCCTCACAATAACTATAGAGAAGGTGGTGTTTTATAACTGAAGGTGGCATGGCTGCTTTCATTTCCATGTGTCTGACACACACCTGTAGGTGGATCATCGCAAGCTGTGTTTATGCTGTGGTTCCTTTTGAAGCATTTGACTAATATAGAACATCTGGGACATTTATGATTCTTTTTTTGGTGAGTGAATATTAAGTGTTTTAGTAGTCTGGTGCATTAGTCACCCTCTCATTCAAATATGACACTTCTGGCCTCAAAAGACCAACATGTCACCATGCACAGGTCAGAAACTGATAGGTGACGTCTAGAGATCTCAAAAACCTGCACATGGCTCACAGTGTGTGAGCCCAATGCACAAAATTGTATTTGCTAAACTTTTCGGAAGATTAAGTGGATTACATGCAAGTGTACACTCCTGAAAGCTGTGTTGCAAAACCTGTTAAAATTAGGACCTGCTGTTTCAGCTGCTAAACGGAGATTCACTTGTAGTTCTTTTCGAGCCACACATTTCTTGGGAGACGTGTCCGTCACCTCATTTTGCACATTTTAATATGTAGACATGGTGAAGATGGCATGCTGAAGTTCAAACTGAGCATCAGAATTGGGAACAAAAGTGATATAAGTGACTTGTATGGTTGTCAGACAGCCTGCCTCAGACAACCATCTTTAGGCTTCACAGAAGATGGCCTAAAAAAATGAAAACATCCAGTGAGCAGCATTTCTCTGGGTGAAGATACCTTGTTGACGTCAGAGGAAAATGGCCAGACTGCTTTGAAGTGAGGAAAACTGAGTAACCCAAATAACCACTCACTCATCCAAGATGTGCAAAAGAGCATCTCTGAATGGACAATACGTCAAGTCTTGATGCAGATGGTGATTGCAGCAGGAGTGACACCCGGTGTGGGTTTCCTGTTTCAAGAAAAGGAAATTGAACTACAGTTCACATGGGCAACACAGAATTGGATAAATGCAAGCATGAAAGCATGGATCCATCAAGCCTTGTATCAACTGTTGATGGTGTAATAGTGGGGGGTTCATTTGTATGTCGGAGGCTACCTGGTTATTGTTGTTGACCCTGTCCATCCCTTTATGACCTCGGTGCAATCATGTTCTGATGCCTGCTTCACAAAGGTTAGAACAAACTTCTGGTGAGCTGATTTCATGAGCCCTTCAAACCAAAAACCAAGTATTTAAAACTTAATGATTCAGATAATTGATCTACATTTGAAAATCCTTAATTTTATGCTAAGTTCCCATGTATTTTCACTCCTGTGCAGCAATGCTGGTATAATAGCACCACATCAGGGCTGGTTCTGGTCCCCGAGCTGCACAATAGGAAGCATAATAATCATCACTGTTGCTTATGGCAGGTCGAGGCACCATCTGCTGACCTCTATGAAGAACTGCAAGAAAGCAAAAAAGTCAAAGGAGGAAAAAAAAAAAAAAAGACAACTGGAGGCTTTGAGTAGAAAGATAAAGTAGACTTTATTTAATGGTGAAACCTAAATAAGATCTGTGATTACAAAACAGGCTCCCCATGTAGTTTCTTTCAATGTCACAGAGGCTGGAATGCTGTACTGACAGAAAAGGCATCAGAAAGACTTGACCTAAAATATAAAGCTTGAAAACTACGAGCTTCAGAGAGAGTCGAGAGAAAGAAACCCTCTCACGAGTCGTTCCTACAATCCAATGGCAGTTACAATAGTTTAATGAAGACGTTCAGCAGTTGTCAACATCAGAAACTGGAGCATAAAAGCAATCGTGACTTCATGAAGTCTGTAGAAAAGAGACAGTGAAGAGGCATAGATGGTAAAAGAAAGGGTTTCCTTTGTTGCACTACGTCATAAAGGGCCTCATTTGGTTAGGACATAAAAATACATGGTAGCACGAAAGCCTTCTGTGCATCAAATGTCTAAGACGCTTGGAAGTCTTTGCACTGACTACACTTTTCTCAGACCACTGAAATGTTACGCTGTACATTAAATCAGAAACCAAGTGGCATTTTCCCTTTAAGTAGCCTCCAAGCTAACATACACATATACACCCACGCGACAAATATACACTCAAGCACATCCTGCATCCCCATCATGAGCCAGCTGCAAAAAAAAAAGGGAAACATCCAAAAATATTCGGGTTATCAATACACTGGAAAAATATAGCACTGTAGGTCTCTCTCTTTTCATTTTTAAAGGAATAGTTTAGCAGCTTGGGAAATATCAGAGTAAGAGGTGAAGATTGGTTTGAATAAGCAGCCTGAAGCTAATAAAGTTCACCCACCAGCTTCTCCAACTCTAACACCGCAGGCGTCTGCATGGATTAAACAAACCACATCTCTTTTTAATTTTTAAGCTTTGGAGGTGCTGTTTGGGTGGATTTTATTTCTCAGGGTAGAGCCAGGCCAGCTGCTTCACATTCACCACATATATTCAACCTCTTCCCCTCGCCTTAAAAAAAAAGAAACAATGCTGAACTCCTCCTTTAAAACTCCAGTTATTAAGAAAAATATTTCCTTTGTTGAAAAGCTCTTTCTCAATACTTTAGTGTAAATGATTTTATAAACACAGCTCTGCATTTTTCAAATCGGCATCACCCAGATGAATACAATTTTACCAACACCTGAAACACAAAAATAAGTGTTTAGTCTTATTGTTCATTAAATTCATCGTCTCAGGCAGAGTCATTTACAGAGCGCTCACTCTATATCTGGGATTAATATCTCTATCCATTTTGGCCATCTTTAAAAAAGGAAGTGGCTGTGTTCTTTAGCTTTCCTGTATCTTAATGCACACCAAATGTTTACTTTTTGGGTCTGGTCCCAAACACCCCCCCACCCCACCCCACAAAACAAAAAATAATAATTTTTGCCGTTCTCTTAAGTGTTGGCAGCGATGAGGAAAAAGCACATTAAAAATAGACATCTTTAAATAGCTGTTCAGCTCTTCTAAGTGCAGCACAAATCGGAAACATTGAATTCAAGTCATCGTTATCTCCTCCCCCGTCTCCGCGTATCATACAACGAATATACCGGAAAGAAACATTTTCAGTTAAGAAACTAAATGTGAAAGGATAAATCTTTGATCAGACAAATAAACAGTATACTGCAGCCACACTGTAACATCCAAAAATAGTCTGAAGTTGAAATATAGATTTTTTTTTTTCTTGCCAAAGAAATGCTGGCGTTCACTCTAAGTAGATTTCATATACTGCTGAGGTGTGATTTGTGTTTTTACGTCTCTGTTGATCCTACCCCGGCAGTCCTGAACGCAGCATCAAACCGTTACAGAGTAAAACACTGACGTCCGGTGTCATTTGGCACATGGGGTGCTCTCGCTGACAGCTGCGGTGGCGTCGGGGTCTTTGTCGTCTGCGGTGACGGCAGCGGCGCTCCTTTCCTGGTCCTCGTGGTTACTGTTACTATTATTGTTGTTGTTGTTGTTTTGGACACTCGGAAGCCCGTGGCTGTTGTTCTGGACCAGCGGCATGTCACCGAGCTTCAGCTCCTCCAGCTTCTTCCACAGCTCTTCTCTCTCCTGCTCCTTCTTCTTTTCCCTGTGAAATCACAGTATTTAAAAACAAAAACTAAGCAAAACACCAGACACCAGTGTTGATATCGCCAAACCAATCATTTTCATCACAGTTTTAATCAAAACAACCTATTTTTCCCTAACGAAATAAAAACTAATGCACGAGGACAAAAAAATATGATGAAATTCATAAAAACAAGATGTTCTGGAGAGATGACATCCAATCTGAACTAATTAAGCTGTGTAGTAAGATCAGATGCACACATTTGATCTGACCCTGGGGAATCAGGAGAGGGCTTTGGCTAACAACGTGACAAAACGTGAACACCTGGGAGGAAGTGAAGAGACATAAGGACACATTTCACATCTGATGTCAAGGAAAATAACAGACTAAACTGTGTGTAGCAACGTTCACTGGTAAAAACAAGGTTTTACATTTTATACTTTAGTCAGTTATTATATGTAGTTGACAAAAACTAAAAGAGCATAAATGTCCAAATTATAATTATGATTAAAACTAAATGTCTTGATCCTCTAAATTCGCATTCATTATTACAAGCAGAAATATTGTCAGCCATGCTGGATATAATACTCGTTTTCTTCCTTTTCCTCCACTCTGCTTCTGGTTGCTAAACATTAAATGAATTTGCATGAGGAGGCGTGAGTTTTACTTTGACCTGCCGACACTCGTCTTCTGCTCCCATTCATTAAAACGCCTTCTGCTGTGTCGGCTGTGCATGAAGTGATCTGTTCACGCATGAATGTTTGGCAGTGACTAAACGACAGGTGAATGTTGTGCAATTAATGAATAATCCTGTGGTGGGAAGAACACAGAACTTGGGTGTAACGATAAATGCATAAAACAAACCAAAATGACCATTTCTTCACTATTAAACATTAAAAAAAGAGATGAGATCAGCAAAAACATTCTAAATGATTTCTGAAGTTATGTGTCAGAGGCTGCACAGCATTACTTTAACACTTCAGAGACATTTTTCCTTTAGATAACAGAAACACGACAGGAAAACGAGTGTTTGAGTCACTCACCGTTGCCGGTCTGCTTTATATGAGGACGTCAACTCATCGAAAAGTGTGCAGTTCATCTCCATCAGCGTCTTCAGCACATTGTAGACTAGAGCTACGATTGTCCTGCAACACAACAGAGACTGTCATCAGCAACACAGCTGTGAAATGTGCATGAGTGGATGTCATATTTCGCTGTAACTGTGCAGAAAATCTATTTGCTGGTGAATCATTCCCAAACCATCCAACACTCTAGTTTTCACACACATTTCTCCATCTCCTAGTGACTTTACATTTTTGTTAGAAACTTCTGTAGTTTTTGTGATGCTCAGACCTTGTTTTAATAAATAACTGGATTACA